CCACAATCTGTGATCTCGATATTAGTCTTAGTGCCATGAGATCCGAGTGGGATGGCCTTTTGACCGGGGTTAATAGGCTTAAAGCAAAACTTCAGCACCAATGGGATTCCCTCATAATTAAATTAACATACTCTATGTACCATATGAGGATGAAAACCTTGGAAGAGGCCAAACGGGACGTTATTGATATCGACGAAGCGATTGCTAATGCCCGAATGCTGGAGTTGACTGCTCGAGAACACCTCCTGGCTCGGCCTGATACAACTGACTCTTCTAGTCCCAGTTCTGAGTTTTCAAGAATCGGGGAGGATCTTGAAGAGAATAACTATGAAGGCCAAGATCCTGCACCGCCAGTAGATCCGCCTACTTCTCCCGGGGGCGTAGATGCCTATCTTCCCCCGAGTTCCGGTGGCGACGAAGTATAGCCTTTTGCTTTCTTTTCTTTTGTTGTTTTTTTTGGATTTTTGTACTTATGCGACCTGGCATTTTTGATAAATAAAAGGACTTTTTGTTTAAGAATTGTGCAAAGTTCATGCTTTTTGCGTCGAATTAAGTGAGGTTTCGGGTGTGTTTTCTTCTGATAACTTTTGGGTTTTGGGCATAAATTCTTTAGGAACCAACCCTTTACTATGAGGGTTTAATAAGATAGGGCCCTCTTATGTTTACAGTACTTTTGAATAGGACGTCTCTTGTTCATTACGGCACTACCATTTGAAGCTTTATTTAACTTTGAAATGATAAAATTAGTTTATTGTTTGGACACGAAATAAGATAAAAATAAAAGGACTTCATTTTATTCCTTCTGTCTTCAAAAGTACATAAGCATTCATTTGCTGAAACAAAAGAAATTTCCAATACATGTGGCTAATTTGTACAAATTATTTCTACGGGCAGTCCCCGGCCCCAATGAGACATTATTATTCCTGGGTCTCATAATCATGATTTTCGTGGAAATCAAGGTATCGCATTCTCATACTATTACCCCCAATGTTTGATTGCGGATAATGCGAATTGGAATACCAGAAGTTTGGTCCTATGGCAAGCTTTGTTTCCCATTAGTAATTTTGCCATCGAGCCAAAGATTATTTAAACATCCCATAGTGTCTTGTCATTTGCTTGCCTTCTCATTTTAAGGTCTTAACTCTGCTGATGGCGTTTCCTTCGTAGTATGCTTTCAGTCACTGTCTCGTTGAAAACCTTGCCAGAAAAAAAACCCAATTGGGAGAAAAACTGGGCGAAGGTAAAAAGAGTGCAACACATACTTTTAGTATAATCATGATCCATCAATAGTAATACTTTTTCAGGTGAGTCACGTTCCAGTTACTCGGCAATTTGACTCCGTCTTGGTTCTCTAGCTCGTATGATCTTTTTTCGGTGACAGACGATACCCAATAAGGGCCTTCCTATGTTGGACCCAACTTTCCCGCGTTGAGCTCCCGGGTGTTCTGAGTCACCTTTCTCAAAACCAAGTCTCCCACTCTAAAATAGCGGAGATTGGCCATCCGGTTATAGTATCTTTCCATACTTTATTTCTAATCCGCCATTCTTATATATGCCAAGTCCCTACATTGCTCCAGCAGCTCCAATTTGACCAGCAATGCCTCATTATTTGCTTCTTCATCCGTCCGGATGTACAACAAGGTCAGTTCTCCTGCTTCCACCGGGATCAGGGGTTCCGCACCGTATACGAGAGAGAAAGGTATCTCTCCCATGCTTGATTTTTCCTTCGTCCCATATGTCCATAACACGCCTGGTAGTTCTTTGGGTCACTTTCCCTTGGTTGCTTCCAACCTTTTTTTGAGGTTTTGAATAATCACCTTATTGGTTGATATCGCCTGCCCGTTTTCACTCGGATGATATGGTGAAGATGTGATTCTTTCAATTTTTAGGTCTTCAAGAAATTTTGTGACTTTGGAGCCTATGAACTGTGGTCCATTGTCGCACGAAATCTTCTTCGGTATTCCGAACCGACAAATTTTGTTTTTCCACAGGAAATCGACAACTTCGTGCTTACTGATCTTTTGGTAAGGACCTACTTCAATGCATTTACTGAAGTAATAATTTGAAATTAAAAGAAATCCTACCTTCCCGGGACCCGGTGGCAGCGACCCAACTATATCCATCCCCCCATTTCATGAATGGCCATGGGGACAGTACCGAATGCAAGAGTTCTGCTGGTTGGTGCATCAACTGTGCATGGCGCTGAATTTTTTCACATTTATGAACGAATGCCTTCACGTCTTGCTCCATCCGGTGCCAGTAGTATCCTTTCCTAACTAATTTTATCACCAATGAGTCTGCACCAGAATAATTCCTGCAAATTCCTTCATGTACCTCTCTTATGAAAATCTACCTCTGAGGCTCCTAAACATCGGGCCGACAGGCATTGGAATGACCTTATATACAACTGCCCCCTCCCTAGAGGCTATAACGAGCTGCTTTGGTGTGGAGTACCCGGGATGCCTTCAGGTCTTTGGGCAGCTTGCCATGCTGGAGGTAACCGATGAACTCATTCCTCCAGTCCCAAACTAGGTTGGTTATATGTACTTCACATTAGCCGCCCACATACAGTACTGAATGCATGAGTTAGGTGACGGTACCGAAATATGATCCCTTCATCTCCATGGACGATCCCAAGTTGGCCAATGCATTTGCTTCTACATTTTCTTCTCTCGGGATGTGGGTGATCGACCACTCCCTGAACTGCGTGAGCAAATCTTGAACTTTAATCACATAATGTTGCTCCTTTATGTCAAATATTTCATATACTTGATTTACAACTAGTTGGGAATCACATTTGATTTCGATTACCTCGGAGCCAAACCCCAGGCCAATTCAAGTCCTACAATCAAAGCCTCATACTCGGATTCATTTTTAGTCAATGGAACAGTTTTTATGGCCTGCCTCATGGTTTCTCCCGAGGGTGTGATTAGGACCACGCCGAGACCAGACCATTTCACATTGGAAGCTTCGTCCGTGAATAGGGTCCAAACTCCAGATCTCATTTCTGACACAATCACTGCTTCTTTTGTGGCCAAAGGCAGTAACCCAGGATTGAAATTGGCCACAAAGTCGGTCAAATATTGTGATTTGATCGCAGTCCTAGGCTTATATTCAATATCAAATTCACTAATTTCGACTGCCCATTTGTCCAACTGACCTGACAACTCAGGTTTGTGAAGGACATTCTGTAGGGAAAAGGTTGTCACGACGGCTATCAGGTGGCATTGAAAATAAGGCCTAAGCTTCCGAGAGGCGACTACGAGAGCTAAGGCTAGTTTTTTGAGGTGCGGATAACGAGTTTACACTTCCGATAAAATTTTGCTAACATAATAGATAGGATATTGCGTACCTTCGTCCTCCTGAACTAGAATGACACTTATCGCTACCTCCTAGACCACTAAGTATATCAACAATTGTTCGCCTTCTTCCGATTTTGATAGTAACGGAGGGCTTGATAGATATCGTTTCAGGTCGTTTAATTCATGTTGGCATTCTAGAGTCCATTTGAAGTTGTTCTTCTTCTTCAGAAGTGAGAAGAAGTGATGACATTTTTTTGAAGACCGAGAAATGAACCTGCTTAGAGTGGCCAGTCTTCCGGTTAGCCTTTGGACTTCATTCACGCCTGTCAGCTGGTTTGGGATGTCCTCGATGGCCTTGATCTTATTGGGATTTACCTCTATGGCCTTGATCTGGTTGAGATTTACCTCGATCCCTCTTTTGACACCAGAAAACCCAAGACATTACCAGAGCTAACTCCGAACGCGTATTTTTCGAGGTTGAGCTTCATGTTGTGCTTCCTTAGGGTGTCAAGGGTTTCCTGGAGGTGTTTTAAATGGTCACCTACATTCAAAGACTTGACCAACATATAATCTATGTATACTTCCATTATTTTACCAATTTATTTCTCGAACATCTTGTTCACGGGCCTCTGATAAGTTGCTCCAACATTTTTAAGCACAAAGGGCGTCACATTATAACAATATGTGCCAAAGTTTGTTATGAACGAAGTTTTTTCCTGATCCTTCGGGTTCATCTTAATTTGATTGTACCTTGAATAGGCATCGAGGAAACTCATTAACTCATGTCCGGCCGTTGCATCAATCATTTGATCAATGTTTAAAAATGGAAACGAGTCTTTCGGGCATGTCTTATTATAGTCCTTATAATCTACATACATTCAGAATTTGTTATTCTTTTTCGGAACTACAACTACATTAGCTAGCAAATCGGGATACTTTACCTCCAGGATTGAACTAATATCAAGTAACCAAGTTACATCTTCTTTAACAAACCTGTTTCTGACCTCGGCTAGGGCGCTTATTTTGCTTTACCGGTGGAATGCTTGGGTCCAGGCTTAGCTTGTGCACGACCACCTCTAACGGGATACCCGTTATATCTGCATGTGACCATGCAAAACTATCAACGTTAGTTTTAAGAAAATCAATAAATCATTACCTGAGCTCGGGGTTAAGTCTTGTCCCAAAGTGAAATTTTCTATCTAGGAACTTTTTGAACAAAGCCACTTGTTCGAGTTCTTATGCCGTGGACTTGGTCGTATCTGTTTCTTTCGGTACCTTAAAATATCTTGGTACCTGATGGGATTCTGATGACTCCTCCCCTTTGTCATCTTCGCTTGGTTCGGGAGTAGGCTTCGGTTCTTGTAATTTCTATGTGTTGAGTTCCTTCTTTACTATTGAAAACCGATACCACATTCATTTCCCTTATTTTCGGTTGATCTCCTCTTATTTGCTTGATTCCCTTCGGTGTCAGGAGTTTCAACAGTTGATGGTACGATTTTCATCTCATGCAACCATGGTATGCTGAGAATTATGTTGTAGCCCATGTCGCCGCCACCACTTCAAATAAGGTGGTCTTCGTGATCCATTTAGCATTCGTGAGCAGCAAAATCTCCCCTCAAGTTGTCACACTTGCTAAGTTAAATAAGGCAAGGAGCTTTGTTGTCGGAATGATGCTTCCGATTAGCTTGGCTTGTTCCATTACTCTCCATTGAATGATGTTGCTGAACTTTCTAGGTCAAACAAAATGCGTTTAATCTTGAAATCTAGAACGTTAAGAGAAATTACTAGGGCATCATTGTGCGGCAGAAGAAGTCCGTCGGCATCTTCTTTTGTGAAAGTGATATCGTCTTCGGCGACTTCCCGAAGTTTCTTGCTATGAGTCACTGATACCTTTGTCTTCTTGGCTGCCAAGAAGGTTACACCGTTGATCTCGTTCCCCCCAAAAATCATATTGATAGTTAGTCGAGGAGGGTCTTCCCCTATCTTCAAAGGTTTTGCGTTGTCTCAGCTACGGCCGTAATTGTTCTTGGCCTGATCGCTTAAGAATTCCCTCAGATGGATGTTCTTTAACAGCGTTTCCAGCTCCTCGCGCAGATGTCGGCAGTTCCCAGTTCGATGGCCATGAGTCCCATGATATTCGCACCATAAATTAGGATCCTTCTTGCCAGGGTCGGATCTGATCGGCCTCGGGAACCATGATTCCATGATGTTTCTCATTGTCGATACCAACTCCACTACACTAATATTGAAATTATATTCTGAGAGCCTAGGATAAGTGGAATCCCAAGAACTCGATACCTCGTTATCCTATAATGAACTGTTGTTTCCTCTGACCGGATACCATTTGCTGTCGCGTCCTTTGGCCCTCTCGTAGGGCAAGAATCAACCCTTAGATGATCATCGATCTGAGTCAAAATCATCTTTAGATTTATCACTGTTCCTTTCTCGATCTTGACCCTTGGTTGATGCCGGGAACCCGAGCTGATCATCTTTTATCCTTATCTTTGATTCATAACGGTTATGGACATTCGCCCATATGGTTGCTTGGAACTCGAGTAGGCTTTCTTTCAGCTTTTGGGAGGCGTTGGAGCTCCTCAGGTTCAATCCCTTAGTAAATGCCTCAGCTGCCCATTTATCTGGCACGACCGATAACAACATCCTTTCTTTCTGGAACCTGATCACGAACTCACGCAGCAATTCAGACTCTCCTTGCAAAATTATGAATATGTTTGCCTTTCGAGCCTAGAATTTCCTGGCCCCGACATGGGCCTTGATGAAAGAATCTGCGAGCATTTCAAAAGAATCAATTAATTATTCAGGTAGAAGCGAATACCATGTCAAGGCCCCCTTCATGAGGGTTTCTTCGAATTTCTTCAGCATGACTGACTCAATCACATGTTGGCCAAGTTATTTCCTTTCGCCGCCATTGTATAGGTTGTGATGTGCTCCTTAGGGTCTGGAGTCCTATCATACTTCGGTATGTCTGGCATTTTGAACCATTTCGGGATCAACTCTGGTACTGCGCTTGGTTTGAACGGCAATTGGGTGTACTTTTTCGAGTCCAGGCCCTTCAACACTGGTGGTGCGCCGGGAATTTGGTCCATTCGAGCGTGGAACTCTTTCGCGTTCTGATCCATCCGCTCGTTCATTTCCCTCATGAATCTCATGAGTTCGATTTTGAAGGGATCATTTCCCTTGTCGTTACCGGATCCGCTGCCAATCCCCCCGGCTCCGTCGAAGCCGACCTCACCCATCGGGGTGTTGTTATCAACTCTTTGAACTGTTTGATTTGAAGGATCGCCACAGGGAACATGGACTCTTCCATTCGCGTTGTTGGAAGCGCCTGACAATATCTGCTTTAGTTCTGTCATGACTTAGTCTTGCCTTGAGAGATGGCCCATGATGGCCTTTTGCTGCTCTCTCAAGATCCGTACCATTTCAGCAACGTTCTCGTCCTCAGCGTCATCAAAAGTCATCTCACGCACATGTCGGGGATATTGCCCGCCGTGAACCAAGGTTGCAACGTACCCCTTATTGCGGGTGTCGATGATTGAATCCTCGCGTTGGGGCAGATTTTGTTTTGTGCCTCAACGTTGTGTGTGATGTTGACATCATTAGCTACCATTTCTTCGATATTTCTATGAAACAAATAATTAAACAAGTTAGTAATAGATGTAAGGATCAACTTAATTACGCAACTGTCTAAGCCCCACGGTGGACGCCAAACTATTTACCCGTAAAATAGTACAGTTGAATTTGTTATGTGGTTTATAGACAAACAAAATAATTTGATCCCAAAATGATAAATAAATTAAATAAAAAATAAGACCTAGCATTGAAATCGAAAGAAATAGCAAGCTTGGTTCCGGGAGCAAGGCTTCCGAAGACAACGATAAGAATAGTTATAAGCAGAAAATAAAGTTATATTATTTGGCTTGATAGTAAAATGTAGCATAAGTTTTACTAGGGATTTTGTGCCTACCATGGTTGTTTAAGCTACTATTTATAGCTATACCTAGAATCAAGCTCCTCTTAAATGACAATAAAGGGGGCCATTGATGAATATGTAAGGGCAGACCATGAATGCAATAATTCCCTGCAATGACTGTATATTTGATACCGAAGAATATTCTTCGTTAAATGTCATCTGGTGACAAATATTCGTTTGTTTCCGTTGACTGTCTTCCTTTCGGGATCTACCCGATACCAACCGAAGTTGTTGTCCTCATTCTTGGTTTTCACTCCCTTCATCTTTCGTCTGCCATCCGGATCCACATGTCATGTAATCATTCGAACATTTAACTAAGCTATTATTCATTTATTTGTCACGTGATTCTCCATTTCTTTTTCTTTTCTTGAAGGAGATTTTTGAAAGAACACCAAAATAGTCCAAACCAAGGCCGCTAACGAGCTCCTTCATTCTTCAAAAGAATTGAATATCTTTTCCGATTAACTGTTCTCTATATCTTTCTCGACAAAGTCCTTTGGCAAGTTTTTCTTTCTCTTATTTGCTTATTTCCTATCCAGAAAATAGTGCAGAAACTGAAAAATATGTATAATAATACTGTTCTAGAATATTTTTGCAAAAACAAATTTGCAAGTGCCAAAATCAATTCAGTATACTAATTATAATGCCAAATGCTACCACTTCGAACATGTAAATAGCCAAAGTATGAAAAGTGATTAACTGAGTTATTACCGAATGTATTTGACTCACTCAGAAGCCATCACATTACAAAATGAATTTGAGTTATTACAAATGAATCTTGTCTTTACAAAATGAACCCTGCCATTGCAACTTGAGTCTTTTGCTAACTACTACTGTCGAAATTTATTACGTTGCGCTTTCATGAAACTATCCTCTTCTAACCTGGAAAAAGAATAAGGTAAAAGTTAGATGAATTTTATTACGTTGAAGTAAATTAGAGATAATATGATTAAAAGTGAAATACAAAAGAAAAAGTCATAACAGAAATGCAGAATGCGTACGATAAACCCTAATGGTCCGGCCCTTTCCCTGACCCCGCGCATAGAGGAAGCTTAGTGCACCGAGTTGCGATGAAAAACACTTGTACTAGGTAATCAAATCTTGTTTGTTTCTGACAACAGACACCTATCTTGATCCAAAACCTATCTATAGAAACAAGTTTTGAACAATAATCGATCATCAAGATATGATTTGCCGAGCGAGGACGAGACGAAAAACAATATATTAGAGAAAGAAAAAATTGCCAATGGATTTCGCCGAGAAAGATATCGAGAAGTGTCCGCCGGAAAAGATATTCAATATATTCTTTTGAAGAATGAAGGAGCTCGTTAGCGGCCTTGATTTGGACTATTTTGGTGTTCTTTTCAAGAATCTCCTTCAGGAAAAAGAAAATCAACAAACTCCAATATAAGTCATATATATACTTAATACTAATGAGTTGGTTAGGACGCTAGCTTGGTGAAGAGTGCAATTTTTCAAGTTGTTTGTAGCTCTATTTAAGCAGTTGTATCTCCGGCACTTTTGGCTTTAACTGATACGAAAGGAAATGTACACTAAGCTCTCGTTTGGCTGTAAAATAATATCGGTTTCTTTATAGATTTTACGGCAAACGGCCAAATATATCCCTATACTTTCAAAAATGATCTAAGAATACCCCTCGTTATACTATTGGGCTATATATACCCTTCCTGTCATACTTTGGAACAAATATACCCTTATTTTGGATGGAGTGTCATGTGTCAACACCAGATGAAAACGACCCATTTCTTTTTTTACCCGATCCGTTTTAAAAAATCCACCACCAACTCGTTTTAAAATTCAGTTTTTTAACGGCAAAGGGCCAAATATATCCCTGTACTTTCGAAAATGATCTAAGAATACCTCTTGTTATACTATTGGGCTATATATACCATTCCCGTCATACTTTGGAACAAATATACCCTTATTTTGGACGAAGTGCCACGTGTCAGCACTAGATGAAAATGACCAATTTTGTTTTTTACCCAATCCGTTTTTAAAAACCCACCACCCGACCCGTTTTAAAATTCAGTTTTTTTTAAAGCATATATTTTTTAAAAACTGGAATTTGTTTTTGTAAAAACTGAAAAATAAAATAAAATTTGTAAAATATATATTTTTAAGTCTTTTCAGTTTTTTAAAGTATTTTTTTGTCAAAAATGAAAAACAAAATTAAAAATGCTTTAAAAACTGAAATATATATATTCTGTAAAAACTAGAAAAAAAAGGAATTTGCAAAAATATATATTTTTAAGTCTTTTCAATTTTTTTAAAGTATTTTTTTTGTAAAAACTGGAAAAAAAAAATATTTTTTTAAAAAACTGGAAAAAAGACTTTCCTAAAGCAGTGGACTACATATGCATTAGTTTTAAAAAAATAAAAATATTTTGCAAAATCTTTTTTTTTTCCAGTTTTTACAAAAACAATACTTTAAAAAACTAAAAAAAGTGAAAAATATATATTTTGCAAATTCCTTTTTTTTTTCCAATTTTTAAAGAATATATATTTTTTAGTTTTTAAAGTATTTTTAATTTGTTTTTCAGTTTTTACAAAAAACATACTTTAAAAAAATTGAAAAGACTTAAAAATAGTATATATTTTTTTTTTCTTCAGTTTTTACAAATAAAAATTCCAGTTTTTACAAAATATATATGCTTTAAAAAAACTGAATTTTAAAACGGGTCAGGTGGTGAGTTTTTTAAAATGGATCGGGTAAAAAAAAAGGGTCGTTTTCATCTGGTGCTGACACGTGGCACTCCATCCAAAATAAGGGTATATTTGTTCCAAAGTATGACGGGAAGAGTATATATAGCCCAATAGTATAACGAGGGGTATTCTTAGACCATTTTTGAAAGTACAGGGGTATATTTGACCCTTTGCCCTTTTTTTAAAGCATATATTTTGTAAAAATTAGATTTTTTTTTTGTAAGAACTGAAAAAAAGGAATTTGCAAAATATATATTTTTAACTCTTTTCAGTTTTTTTAAAGTATTTATTTTTGTAAAAACTGAAAAAAATAATTTAAAAATGCTTTAAAAACTAAAAAATATATATTCTGTAAAAACTGAAAAAAAAGAAATTTGCAAAAAATATATTTTTCACTTTTTTTAGTTTTTTAAAGTATTTTTTTTGAAAAAATTGAAAAAAAAAATTCAAAATATTTTTAATTTTTTAAAAACTAATGCATATGTAGTCCACTGCTTTAGGAGAG